CAGAACCCGTGGTCCATGTCCATACTACATATTTCGAGAACTATGGTCTATGACCATATCCTAGACGGCTTGGCTAAACCCTTTGATGGTTGACGACTAGCCTAAGACTTGGGGACATCATTTACATGTATATAAGGTTATGCATCAGGCCATATAAGTGAGCATAGATATTCCCACCTCAGACTAATACGGGTCATGAGTCCAGACATATATCATCTTAAGATATTATGAATGAATCCACCACAAATATATGTGCCATCTAAGGATCATGTGATCTTAGAAAGAGGATTGGGAATATATGTTGGATATATATATATATATATATATATATATATATATGAATATACTTTCTCCATAAGTTTAAAAGAAACCTTAAGCCAAAATGAGTGATCTAATTATGGGCTAAGGAAAAATGATTACATAAAATTTATGAATCCCAATATCGAACAATGAAAGGAGAAAAGTAATAAGCTGGTTAAGAATGGTATCAACCATCAATGTCTTGGTAAAGATCCTCGGACTAGAAATGATTTATAGACGTCCATATGCTATGATAAGCAAAATAATATGCCAGACACATTTGACCCGAGAAAGAATGACTATGTCATCCCAACTTAGCACCACACGGTTTTGATGTCTTAAAGACACAACCAAGTTTGCTACAGAGTCTAATATAAGTTCCAAATAAAGTCCCATAAAATCTAAGGGACCTCGGAAAGTAAGAAAGGTGTATGAGATAAAATCCGAGTTTTATTAATGGAAACCATTCCAGACATTGAGATATAAGGCTGGCCAGCTGAACCGCTAGGTACCATACCATATAGCTTGGGACACCAAGTTATAAGGTTACAAAGGTCCTAGATAATGAAATCTCAAATTGATGTTATACCATGTCTGGAAACTAAGAGGAACACATATATAAGTGTGTCGACACATACATTCAAAGTTAATGCGCAAAAATGTAGCACATAAAGTAAGTATGAATCGAGGATCATGAACCCACATATGAGTACTCACCATAATGAATAATAAAAGGAAATGTGGGGTTTCTATAGTGATATAAAAGGCGTGTTTGTATTGGCCATATATGTAAACGCCATATGATGCCCAGTGAATAGATGAATCTTGAAAGATAGATAAATCGTGAGATTGACCGGGAACGGTCTATGATATCCAAAGTGGTGGATACTACTACTACACATTATCACTACATATGATGTCTGGAAGAAATTCAAAGATGTAGTATGTCTCACTGGATGATGATAAAATTATTGGTTCATCAAATTGATATTACCAAGTATTTGAGCTCAGAACCAAAAGATGAGAAAGAAGTTCTCATAAACAGCATTTGTCTAAAGCTGTTCTTGGACTGAACTCTATGTAAATTCAAATCAGTCCATAGAGGAGTTTTTCTAAATTACTTGTGTTTATACTAACCAGCCTAAGATAGGTTAAATGGTTATTCATTAAACCTTAGAAAAAGATTATAAGACCATCACCATAAGTTAACCAAGTTTTGGTAATGATTATGATTAAAATTGAACTACGTCCGACTTGATCCTCGAAAGAGGTACGTAGGCAGCCTTTCTTAAGGTCCAGTCCCAAATCCTCTCAGCATATAAGATGTATAAGCTATAAGCTATACAATCAAAGTTCATGTTTGAACAAGAGAAGTAAACCGCATTATGCGTCCATGTCCGACCCAACCGGTCCGACCATATTTATAAAGATTCTGGTTCATGATTAAGCTGTAAATCATGAATGTAATTGGACATCATTTTATGACCCATAAGGTCAAAAGTCACAGCCATGTATAGACTAGATCAATCCAACCGTCCATACTAAGACTGAAAAGTCTAACCAATATGATCTATGTGCAAAGTTGACTATGGCAAAGAATACTATACTCATAATATAAGCCATAGCCATAAGAGCTAGATAGCCTAGACAATGATGATCCATATTAGCCTACCACATATTATGAAAAGGCACATAAGAATGATTTGGTTGAAGACCATAATCAAAGACATGAGTATAAAGTGGTACATTTTTCTAAGTACCATCAGGATTCTAAGAGACATGATATGTCCAAACAATGCAAGATTGTTCAAGTAAGAATCCCAGAACATCTATCCAGCAAGTGATGTTCACATCAGGGGGAATAATATGTGTTGTACTCTTTTTCCTTATCTACGGTTTCCATTTTTCCCACCTTGGGTTTTGGTTTTCCTAGAAAGGTTTTAATGAGGCAACATTAAGCATATTATGAACTCATATGGTTATGGCATCCAAGGAGGAGGGTTATAAATCCATTGTGTGGATTGTCCATAACTACATGCTTCACCAAGTACAAGAGGAGGTTTACACCAGACCATCTATACCACATCCGGTCCATCCAAGACTTAACCATGGCGACACATTGAACCGAGCCAATCCGAGTCCGCCCGGAGAGGTTCAACCAGCCGGCCATGCCTTAGTCATCTAGCTTTCTCTTATGCACAATCTTATGTAATAAATGTGATCAAAGGTGCATTCAATGCTCCAGATATTTTGTCTCTTGTAAACCCTTGTTTCTCACCACTATATAAAGGTGGTGATATGCTAATGATAATACACAACATTCCTCACATCTCTCTCTCACTTGCAAACAATATCAGCCTCATTTTCTCTAGTTTTATAACAATCCTAATGTTTTGGTTCTTTTTTCTTAATTTTTACTATATAGTTTTATCTTAAATACTCATTCCCTTTCAAAATATTAAATGTTTTCTATGAAATAATATATTTCTAAAATTATTTTTATTTAAAAAGTACAATGACAAATATAAATTATAATCAGTTCAGTTAATTATAAAATACACTAAAATATAATTTGATTATATAGTTTCTAATTTAGCTAAAAGTTACCTAGAAAGCTAAAATATTTTATATTTTGAAACATCAATTTTTTTGATGTGCGTTCTTTTCTTTTTTGAAACTGACAAAGTTGGATGTGTGTCAACTGGTATTCTTCTTTTCTCTGAGACATAAGTATTTCTCTAATGTTTTGAGTTCTTGTTTCTTGATTTTTTATTTCGCTAGAATTCATCTTTAGTACTCTTTTGATTTCAAAATATACGACGTTTTTTTTTGTTTGCGAAAATCAGTACTATTTTAAAAAGTATTTTATCTAAAAAGGTACAACTAAATACTATAAATTAAAATCAGCTCAAATACATTAAAATATCATTGAATATATAGATTTTAATATAGTTAAATTACTTGGAAGCTAAAACATTTTCTGTTTTAAAACATCAAAAATTCTCCTAAATATTTATATTTTGAAACGGAGAGTATTATATATCTTTTGCATTAAAAGCTTATGATGTTTTCGAAGTAATTATCACTGTAGCATCTGCACAATAACGATGAAATCGAACGGTCAAAAATCAAAAACAACAGGCTTCCGGGTCAAGCAACGTGGCTCAACCTCGTCTCGACTCCTCTCATAGTCACGGACACGTGTGGTCAAGCCAACTTAATTCATATACTCTCTCTTCTCCCTACTACCAAAATCAATGTAATAACAATTTCAAAAGACGGTGGTGAGAGAGTACAAGAAAAAAAGCAAGAAGATAATTCTACGGAAAAAATGTTTTCAGCTATAGGAAGTTTAGTGAAGCTCATCTTCAAGAACTTGGACGTCATCGCTGGGTAATTTAATAACATATAACCAAAGCTATTTTGCTCGTTTTAGTTCTTTAATTTGGTTCTTTTTGCATGTGTTGGTTGGTGTGTGCAGACCTATCATTAGCTTGGTTTATCCTTTGTAAGTCCAACATAACTTTCTCTATCTGATTTACTTGCCTTTTACTCGAATTAAAAACTTTAATTTGGTATATACTTTTGATTTAGATACGCATCAGTGAGAGCAATAGAGTCTAGGACCGGTGGAGACGACAAGCAATGGCTCACTTATTGGGCTCTTTATTCACTTATCAAACTCTTTGAGCTCACTTTCTACAAAGTCATCGAATGGTAAGTTTATTACCAAAATAATCTAATCATGCTTCCTTGATCTGCAAGTTTCTCTCTCTGAAATCAAAGTAAACCATATGTTTGTCTATATATTTTTTTAGCTTACGTGGAGCCAGTAACGTTCTTTAGGAATTCTGATGAACTAATGTTTAAATTATACGTAAACGACATCACAATATAGTATATAGATTGAGCTAACCATAAGATGGTGGTGCATATAATCATAGATTTACATTCTATTTAATACTACCTCCATTCTATGATATAGGATGTTTTACTAAAAACACAAGAATCAAGAAATTTACTTTCTACCAAATAATAATAGATATATATGGGGATAAACCAATCATAAATAATAGTAAAATATTATTGGTCAATCAAAGTACCTTAAAATTGTCAAAACATCTTATATTTTGGAATGTTCCAAAATTTCTCTAAAACATCTTATATTATGGAAGAGGTAGTAAGATATTGTAGATGTTTACAACAAAATTTTGGGGTATGCAAATTTTATTTTATGCAAACTAAGTAATGTTTTGAGGTTCATTTAATGATCAGGATACCGTTATGGCAATACATGAAGCTAGCATTAACCAGTTGGTTGGTCTTACCGGGCTTGAGCGGCGCTTCTTACCTCTATAATAACTATGTGCGCTCATTCCTTTTAAGCCCACATAGTGCTAACGTGTGGTACGTACCAGCTAAGAAGGATGATGATGACTTGGCATCAGCTGCTGGAAAATTTACTCCGGGTGAGCCTACAGAAAAGCATGTTAGCTCGGTATGACTTCTAAACTATGTCTATAATTTTGTTATGACCTAAATTTGTTTGATCTGAACACTTGATGTTTTGTTGAATTGTTTCTATTTTCACAGGTGAATACATCAGCCAAATATGTTGGTGGTTCGGCCTTTGATGATACATATGTCTACTAGTAAAAGCTACTTGTGATCTGTTGTAGCTTTAATATGGTTACCCATCTTCGCAATACCATATAGTCTGTATTATCCTTTTTTATCTTTGTGTTTCTTTTTAATGTGGTAGATGTGTAAGCAAGCAAAGAATAAAATTTCTAACTTCTCTATGTTTCGTTAGAAATGTATTATCACCAATTCACCATGGTAATACTCAGCTAAGACACCCCCACGTGATAGCGTTACACATTACACAAGTTCAACATTGTGAACTGAGATTAGCTGTAACTCTGTAACCGTACCGAACCAAGAAACTAATGCATTTTGCCGGTGTAACAATAATAATAAAAATGTCTTTTTCTTTGGTTTTAAAATATAGAGATCTAAAATATATAAAACCTTCCAATCTAATCTAATATAATTATAGTTTTTCAACAATCCAGTGTATTTGATATGATACTATTTTTTTTGTTAACTACTTATGAAACAATATATTAATCATAAAATATATATAAATATTTGTATAATACTACTTATTAAGTAAAAGAAAATAAAAGAAAAAGTTAGTTCACGTGAGACATCATAACAACTAAAATAATTTTTGAGTTATAAAGTCTTTCCACCTTTTGCACTTTTTCTACTTTCTCCCTGTTTCATTCGCTCTCCGTCTTTTGCTCTGCTTCAGTTTCTTTTCCCAACAAGGAAAATAAAATATCGCATTGCATCTGAGTTTACGAGGGAGAAAGAGAGTTTCTTTTGGTTTTAGAGAGGGACTAGAATGGCGACGAACATTGGTATTATGGACAGTGCCTACTTTGTTGGAAGAAACGAGATTCTTGGTTGGATCAATGACCGTCTTCATCTCAATCTCTCTCGCATCGAAGAGGTACATATTATTAATTTCTTGGAAGTATCTGAAGATGGTTAGTTGGTTTACCTTTGGTTCTGTCTGATAAGTGATAATCAAGGTGTTGTTGAGTGTGTTAAATGCAATGAGTGTTCTGTCTTGCTCTTTGTTTTGTTGCTTAATGCTTAATTACTGTAAGCAATTCATATTTTTGTTATTGATTATTCCGGTTTATATATATTGTCTAATAATCTACATTTGTCAGTTTGATACTTATATGCCTATGATATTGAGTAGACTTCAAGCAAGTGCCATTAAAATGATGATGATATGTGTAAAGTTAGATCTGTTTATTTACTTTATTGTTTTAAACCAAAACTTACAAGTAAGCATTGAAACTGTTGTAACTCGTCTTGCTTTTGAGACTGGTTATAAAAGTGGCTTATAATTGGCTTTTTGTTTGGTAGGCTGCATCAGGTGCTGTTCAATGTCAAATGATGGACATGACCTTTCCAGGGGTTGTCCCGATGCACAAGGTACATTTTTATATGCATCTCTTGTTTGCTTCTTTGCATAGAAATCTTAATCTTCCACTTTTCAGGTTAACTTTGATGCAAAGAACGAGTACGAGATGATACAAAACTACAAAGTCATGCAAGAAGTCTTCACCAAACTGAAAATTACAAAGGTAATTAATTATCCATTCATACATTTGAGCTTCTGTGAGCTAATGCCTTCAACATATTATGTCACACTTACAATAGTGTTGTCTTTACTCGAAAAATACATCAGCCATTGGAAGTCAACAGGCTTGTCAAAGGCAGACCACTAGACAACTTGGAGTTTCTACAATGGCTGAAACGTTTTTGTGACTCCATTAATGGTGGCATTATGAATGAGTATGTACTCTTTTGCTTACCTTAAATAATAACTAAAAGTCTTCTTAATGTCACTCCACTGGCTTCATCATTTGTAGGAATTATAATCCAGTAGAGAGAAGATCAAGAGGTGGCAAAGAGAAAAGTGTAAAGGGATCTAACAAGATCTCAAAGTCATTGCAAACAAACAATATGCATCAGCCTCTTCCAGTCACTACTTGCAACAAAACATTTGGTATGTCATTGTAATTAGCTTCTCTTATCCAGTTTATGACTTTCTCTATATATTTTTTTAGAATATTCTAAACTCTTAGGTCCCAAGCAAGCAAAATCACATGCTGTTGGAGGTGGGAGCAACTCATTAGCCGAAGTGCAAGCTCTCTCAAAGGAGGTAACTAATAGTTTTCATTCTTGTCTTCATGTTAATTAGAATAAACCTGTATTACCTCTATTGAAACTTTATTTGACAATACTAGCTTGAAGACCTCAAGGTCTCGGTTGATCTCTTGGAAAAGGAAAGAGACTTTTACTTCACTAAGCTCCGGGATGTAGAGATACTTTGTCAGACTCCTGAGCTCGATGATCTTCCGGTAAGTGTCATAGCAATGCTCTTTTCGTTTTTGTCTTTATTCCCCTTTTGTTTGAACTAAAAACAATGAGAATGTGATATAGTATGTATTTGTTGAAACTATAATATGTGCAGATAGTGGTAGCGGTTAAGAAGATATTATATGCAACAGATGCAAATGAATTTGCACTAGAAGAAGCGAAAGAGTGCCTAAACCAGCCTCTAGGGCTTGAGGCTGAGCAACAAGAAGCAGAGACCCAGACTTAAAGTTGTGATTTCTAACAAAATCAAGTTTAAAAGTACGTTGCTTCGTCTTAGAAGGTAGATCATCCATATTTACAAAACCAATTAAACCCGGCTTGAAGATTTTAATAAAAAAGAACAAAGACTTACGATTATGTAAAATTCAATTACAAAATAAATAGTTGCTACCGTAGAGGATCCCTCCGGTTATTATCTTGGTACCGTGGAGCCTAGCTCCGGATGTAATCGCTTAAACCCATTTCAGATTTAATATAATTGTTTGTGTTGCAAAACAAAAAAAAAAACAAATAGTTGCTACATTGAGGCAAAACTTATTAGATAATGTCAAGCAGTAAAAAAAAACAAGTAATGATATTCAAGTTTCCAAGTGCAAGATGCTTTCATTCTTATCAATAAGAACTAACTCAGCGTACGGCTTACCAAACCAGTGGTCCGATGTTACTCCAACATTGATCTTTCTCATATCATTCTTTTGAAGATCATAATAAAGAAGGTAATAATTGGAAAACAACTTACTAGGTGCCAAGATCACCTCACCGTTTTGAGTTGTACCTAGTACCACCAATGCAATGCTTGAGTAAATTCATCAAGCTAGGCTGCAAAACGAGAAACTTCTTCGACCATATGTGATTTGGGGTTGCTTGTGAAACTTTGATAAATTTTACTTTTTTAAGGAAAAAATTAGAGGGTATATTTTTTTTACCATATGTGATTTGGAGATACGAGAGACTTAGGATATTTTTTTTACCATACGTCTTAGTATAACCAAGAGGGGAACTCAATGGCTTGTCCCATCGAGTTTAATGAATTATATATATACTATACGGTTTCATGAACTATATATAGAACAGGAAAAGCCGAGCTTAGAGACTACATTATTTAAATACTACAATTTCAATAATATCTCAAACTTTCGACAAGGTTATCCTCTCAAAATCTTCCAAGCATATCACAACATTGCAGGCTAATTTGTAATTTTGTATCGGTCAATAATAAGAGAGTGCGCTCTTTCCAGAAACAAGACGAACATAGAGACTGAAGATCTAGGGCTTGAACATTTTGTCCCCCTTTTTGACGTGGGTTCGAAGATTTTTCTTCTTTATTCCCAACCAAACAATATTATTATCTTTTCCCTAATCATAACATAGTGTAGCAAATCTAACGTACTCAAATAAACAGCCTTGGTGCATTTTGCTTACAGATTTCATCTGGCCTAAAATATTTTGCCATAACTATGTAAAAAGTATGAAGTGGTTCATGTTCTTGGGATCTAAAATCATGATCTGAGTAACGTTTTTAGTATTTATGGTTCTTTTGTGTGGAAGACCTTTTTATTTGGAGTACTAATCATTTTTAATGGTTTCAGCTACATTTATATAAACACATATATAAATCAATTAAACTTCTGGTCACAAATATTTGGTCAGAAAATATGATTGGCCAATATTATCAAACTAAATGAAGAAAGCTTAAATTTATAGCTTAAAAATTTGGGAATCATACTGAAAATTTGTAGTGGTTTTCTTCTATCATCTCCAACGCAACAATTTCAGCCTATATATGCCCACTTAGTTTTTTTTTTTTTTAATAAATGCCTATTAGTTTTTCTTAATCATTGATATTATAAGAGATTTCATGTTTTATTTGTATTATAGTAATGATCACTTAGTTTTTTCTTAATCAATCTTGCAATTAAGATAAAGCTTTTGTATTCCCAGGTTTATAAGAAGTTTCTACCTCTTTGAATGTTTTCGTTGTTTAAGTTTTCTTTTTCAGCATAACTTTAAAACTTTCAAAAAGTTTAGGAAAAATTTATATTACTGGGTTAATTATAAAAACCTAAATGGTGTAATATAAAAACAAATAGAACTTGACATCTTATCTTTGAGATCGTTAGAAATTGTATATTTCAGTTGCTTTCCACTTATTTTTTTAATCAATCTTGCTATATTTTTTTAATAAATATTGTATAATAGTAATGTGGACACATGGATAATAGTATTATAGATTTACATAATATATAACACCAAACTTTAACCAACAAATTATACATTTCATCATATAAACCAAATTTCAACGTTTATAAAAATAAAAACAGTGAACGAGTGGATTAAACACGAATTATCCTTTATTCCAAGGCAGTGCAAAACCGGATGGTTGACTTAATTTTCTTGTAAAATATATCCCATCAGTTTTGGCAGTCCATATACGTAGCTGACCACATCGAGGAATAAGTCTTGGTCCTGCTTTGTATACTTGAACGTCATAAGAATACTCCATTTTAGGTCCTTGCCTTAAAATACAGGCCCACTTTGTTAAATTCGGTATCTCATCGTAGAATCTAATGACATATGGAACATCATTGAAGTTTAAGGTTTTTACACCTATATCGTCGTCCCCCGAACGACAATGAAATTGGAGAATTTTACCCGGGCCAAGTTGATTATGAATTTCTACTTGATTCTTTTTGCAGGCTTCATCTAGCCCAAAATATGTAGAGGTCACTAATATAAAAAGTACAAAGTAGTTCATTTGTTTTGGTATCTAAAATCATGATTTGAGTATCCTTTAGTAATTATAATTCTTTTGTGTGGAAGACCTTTTTATTTGGAGTACTAGATAAAATTCTTCTTTTTAAAATGGATTTAGCTAAATTTAAACACAAATATAAACCAATTAAACTTCTTGTCACAAATAGTTTGGCTGAAAATATGATAGGCTAATATGATCGAACCAAATGAAGAAAGCTTAAATTTATAACTGACCATAGAAACCAAACCAAAGTAAAAGCTAAGATATAATGAAGTCTTGAAAATGTAGTATTTCAACAATATCTTGAAATTAAATATATCGAGTGATATGCAAAAAACAATTGCAACATAACTAAATTTACAATAAAGTAAAAAAAAAGAAGAAGGTAACTTAACAAACTAGACATCCATCTGAAAATTTGTAGTAACTTTTTTTTTATTCTCTCCATCTCCTATGCCACCATTTCAGCTATTTAATCTCTACATTTGTTTGTTTGAGATTGGATTCAAGTCAACATTATAGTAAATGGTGATGATAAGTGAACTATTCAAAGTCACATAATAGTGTAAATAGTGATGACAAGTGAACCAACATCACTTACTTTTGTTGTTGGTCTATTAAATTTGGCCAATTAGAAATCGATGTTGCCCAATATAGTTATTGACTTGTGGGACAGTGGGACTCTTCAACCCAACACATTGACCTAAAGAAAACTTTATCTTATTATTACTTTAGGAGAAAGAAACAAAGGGATGGCTAAAACGTGTGTGCCAATGGTATACATTCTGAGGTGTAATATCGTCATGTTCTTATCTAGCCCACGTTATTAAAAGGGTATTTTCGACTTTCTAACCTGCTTACAACTCCAACACGGAATAGACCCATCAAAAGGATTAGTAAAAAGGAAAATAAAAACAACCACCGGCCGCAAAACATTTAAAAGGAAAAATAATGCGTGTTTAAAATGTTGTTGACGTCTTCTACACGGAGAAAGAGACATTAACATGTGTATTCAGACAACAAAAAACTTTATATTATAAATAAAAAATACAAAACCGCAGATTACAGTAAACTAAAGGCGGTTCAAGTTTCCTTTTCTGTAACTCTTCCCATATATATACACACTTGGAGCACAAGTTCTCGTTCTTTCTTATAACTAAAAACACAAAGAAACGATTCAAAAGCTAAAAAAGACTTTTCTTACTAATGGATTACTTGAGAACAGAGTTTCAAGAACTAGAAGAAGGATCAACCATCTCTGAATCTGGAAGCTGTGACGGCTCGTACCATCAACAACGACCTTCTTTTGCCGACGAACATGGTCTTATGGAGTTGCTTGAAGGCGATAAGGCTTACGATCTTATCTACCGTAACTCTAAATCTGCTCTTGGAGACCAATGCGAGCTTCTCTCGATTTTGAGAAACGGGTTTGGTACCGTTGGATCTCGTGCTAAGCTCAAGAGTTTTCAGGTTTTTCAAGAGGCGGTGGAGATGAAACACGGCGGAGGAGGAGGAGGAAGTGGTAATAAAGCTAGAGTTAAATATGGTTGGTGCGATGTCAAGAAAACAGAGTTGAAATCGGTTCTTGAATATGGTTTTAGCCAGCCAAGAAACGATGGATGTTATGGTCGTGGATTGTATCTCTCTCCGGATAATGCTCTTCTTGAATGGTACTTTAAAATATTTTCAATATTTTCTGATAAAAAAATTATTCCAAAGAATTATTCTAGATGTGACTTAAAACGCGAATTAACTCAAAAAACATATTTAAATGTAACCGGGCCAAGAATATGCACGGAGATTTAAGTTACATCCAAAATATGACTTAAATCTCCATGTTTGGCCCGATTACATTTAAATATGTTTTTTTCGAGTTAATTCGCATTTTTTTGTTTTTTCAGAGTTTAATTAGCGTTTTGTTATCCACATAAACCTTTGGTTCAATAGTCTTACTAACTGTTTGTGTTTCTTTATTTTTAGTTTGAAGGATTCAGTAGCTGAAGAATCAGGAGATGGGATGAGATTCATGCTGCTTTGTAGAGTTATACTTGGAAAATCAGAGATTGTTCCAAGAGGCTCTATTCAGTCATGTCCAAGCTCTCCAGAGTTTGATTCAGGAGTAGATGATTTAGCTTCTCCAAGCAAGTATATTGTGTGGAGTACACACATGAACACACATGTTTTGCCTGAGTTTCTTGTCTGCGTCAAAACTCCAATTAACTTCAACAGTAAGTAAAAAAAAAAAACCGTTAATTCTTTGTTCCTCTGTTCTTTATTCTGTTTTTTTTTTTAGTTTCTGATGTGATTTAACTTTTTTTCAGGGAGTCCAAAGAGAAAGAGATCCCCATGGATGCCATTTCCTGTATTGATCAAAGCATTATCCAAGTTGTTACCTTCTTCTCAAATACTCATCATTCAAAAACACTATAAAGATCAGCAAGTAAGTGTTTTTTTCTTTATTCAACCGTTTTTATATTTTCATGTATTTTTTTCACACATTCTAATTGTGTTGCTTACTTTGTGTATAACAACAGAACAAGAGAATCTCAAGGAGTGAGCTAATACAACGAGTTAGAAACATAACAGGAGACAAGTTGCTTGTTCATATCATCAAAGCTTTTGGACATAAAGCACAAAACTAAAACTTAAGCGCACATGGTTTGTATCTGCTGGGCTAGGATTAAGGCCGGTCCACAGATTTGTCTAAGGCTAAGCCATGTGTAAAGATTGATTAGTGTTGTTTTCCTTCAAGATAGTGACGAATTTTTCTTATTATAGACTTTTTACAATTGATGAAAAAAATTATTAAGATAGAATCTAGTGGCAGCCCGAGAAAGTTTGGAGTCCCCCGGGACAATTTTTTTTTGGGGCGATCTAATAAATATTTCGATTTCTGTAACGACTTGTTCTTTTTATATAGCATCGTTTACACTGAATTGTTTATGAGGGCCACTCCATATGTATTTATGAAATTATGAGACATTTTTTAGAACACTAATATCAAAAGTACAAAAGAGAACTAAAATCCTAATTTACAACATATCAAACTATTAAAAATATTTTTGTCAGGAAGAATATTTATTATTATTCAGTAAAAAGAATAAAATCAATGTTTATCAATAAAGAGAGAAAATGAAGTTTTATTGAATTTCCTATAATACATTTAGTAAACTATTACTCTTATTATTATTGTTATTAAAATTTCTTAAATTTATTTTAAAATTAGCAAAAATGAAAATTTACATTATTATTTTAAAAATCTATTTTATAAGATTTTTAATCGGTTAAATATATAAATTCTCTTCGATGATAGGAGCTAGGTTTTATCTTAAAATTATGAGTTAAAAAGATAAATAAAAAATTCTTTTATAAATTAAATATTAAAAAGAAAACCATGCATAAAAGAAAAAAAGCCACAACTTCTAGTTAAATGTTAAAATAGTCTCAAGTCCAACACTGGTCGCAACTCTGCAAGCACCCTTAGTTCTCCATCCATCACCCTTTCGACCTCTTGTACTCTGCGCCATGTCTGCGAGCGAAATATTAAGACTTTGTTTTGTAAATATAAACAATAAAAATATCATAATAAATCAATGAAATAATCCTATTATGACTTTTGCCGTATAATTTTTTGGTACTTCACTTTAAATAGGGAAAATTTACAATTGATAAAAAAAAATTATTAAGATAGAATGAAGTATTCAAGTGGCAGGATAATTAATTTTTTTTAAGAAAAAGAAAAATATGAATTAACTTAAGCAATTAAGAGCATGTTTATTAGTAAAACTCTAAAGAGTTGCTTAAGTGGGCCATTATGATTATTTAACTATTATAATTAAGCTAAGGGACTTTGTTAAGATACAATTAATTATGGTGGTTTATTTGTAGTTTCTTAATTAAAGTTCTTAACAATAACAAAAAAATTAAATTTAAATTTAATTATAATTTTTTTGAAAAAGCTAAAATTTATTATTAAATAAAACAAAGTCAAACATAACATTTTAAACATAGATTTAAAAATAAAAACATGAAAATAAAGATAACTAAAATAAACGATAATTATTTGAAAATGGCATCCAAGTTCAGGTGTTGTTTTGATCACGTCCAAATTTATGTCATATATGTTCAACCAAATCATGTTTCAGTTTTTGATGCGTTTGTTTATCATGAATTCTTATGCGAACACCCATCTGAATGAAGATATTTGTAGGGATATCTGTTGAATATGTGAGATCGACATGTGAACTTCCACTCCCTTTTTTTGTTTTAGATCTTCCTCTGTTTCGATTTGTTTGGTTCCATTGTATCTTACACTGAGACGTAGATGGTGGATTAAAACTGCAATTGTTTGAGATGGAATCTTGTAAAAATCAAAACTTTGAATTTAAATTTAGGTCTACCTCTATAAGAGTTGATGTGTTCTGCTACTGTTCCGTCGGAATTGCCTTTGATAGAAAGAGTTACTACTTTGACCTTTTGTAGACGAACACAAGTAAATAATCTTCAGGCAAAGTTCTATTTTTGCTATATTCTGAGTGACCAAACACTTTCTGTTAGCTTAGCTGATATAAAGAGATGAGTTGTCATTTTGTATACATAACAGAGTGAAAACTGTTTTGGAAAATTCTCAGAGACGAAATTTGTGCAAAACTTGTTATTCTGCCTCGCTTTTTTTTGTTTCTATCCTTTTATTTCTTGGCCATAGAAAAACAGAAACTTTATATTTCAGTTGTGGAAGATGAAGTTAGTTTTGCAAGAGGTCTTCGAGTTATAGGGTGTTTATTAGAGTATTCAGCTTCATTATTTTTGGAGTTACACTGCTCTCTTCTTTGATGCCTTGGTTTGATTTATGTTTTATAGTAATCAGTGTAGAGTAAGTAAGCATAGACATGCAGAGTAATGCATCCATTTGTTTTTTGATTTCTCTTAACTTCTATATGGCATGTTCGTGTCTATCAAAGAATACAAGAGACACGGTTTTTATAAATCATAAGACTATG